ATCACAAAGCCATATTTGTTTCCATCGATGCTAGTGTATTGTGTTGGCCCAAATAAATCCATGTGCAATAACTCAAATGCTTTGCTAGTGCTCATTAAGCTCATCTTAGGATGTGTGTTTCCAACTTGTTTGCCGGCTTGACAAGAGCTACAAAGTTTGTCCTTCTCAAATACCACATCTTTCAAGCCACTAACTAGATCATGCTTAACCAATCTATTCAATTCTTTCATTCCAACATGACCAAGCCTTCTATGCCATAACTAATCCATACTAGACTTAGTGAACAAGCATGTTGACAATTGAGCTTCACTAGCATTGAAATCAACCAAGTATAGATTCTCATATCTAAAGCCTTTGAAGATCAAGTTAGAGCTATCTACACTTATGATCTCTACATCATCTACCCCAAATATGCATTTGAATCCAAGATCACATAATTGAGCCACGGATAGTAAATTGAAATTCAAGCTCTCAACTAGCAATACATTGGAAATGCTCATGTCATTAGATATTGCAATCTTACCAAGCCCTTTGACCTTGCCTTTGCCATTATCACCAAATGTGATACTATCATAACCATCATTGCCATTGGTATTGATTGAGTTGAACATTCTTGCATCACCGATCATGTGTTGAGTGCACCCACTATCAAGAACCCAATGCCTTCCTCTAGCTTTATAATTGATCTATAAAAGAAGATCAATTCTTTTTAGGTACCCAAACTTGCTTGGGTCTTTGAAGGTTAGTGACCAAGCTCTTTGGCACCCAAATGGCTTTCTTCTTTGAGCCCATCCATGTTGCACCAATGAACTTAGCCTTCACACCATTAGTACCCTTGGTAAGCATATAGAAAGAATCAAGCTTAATTGATGATACTTTAGCTTGTGATTTCTTGTTCATGCATTTTTGCTCTATGTGACCAACTTGCTTGCAATTAGTGCAAAACCAACCATTGTTCTTCACAAACTAGTCTTGTGAGGAGCAAAGGTTGTCTTGCCTTTCTTAGGGGTATAGCCCAATCTCTCTTTATAGAGAGAAGCTCTTTGGCTACCCAAGCACATAAGCAAGCGGTCCTCTCAACCATAGGCTTTGCCTAAGGCAAGAGTGAGCTCATTTACCTCCTTTTTGAGGGTCTCATTCTCAACCATTAGTGAGGCATCACAAGTGAAACCAACACTACTAGATGAGCTAGAAGTGGATGTGCTACAAGATGGGTTAGTGGGAGCAACAATGATAGGCTTATAGAAAGATTCATCAATTATGTCATAAGTTAAGCCCACATCACATGTTACAACATGCTCCTTCACATTTCGCTCATCAAGTAGAGAGGAATGAGCTTTTTCAAGCTTCTTGTGAGCCTTGCCAAGCCTCTCATGGGCTTCCTCTAGCCTCTCATGAGATGCATTGAGCTCATCAAAGGCTTGCTGAAGGGCTTTTAGTTTCTTACGCTTTCCCTTCTCTTAATGTCAAAATGTTCTTTAGCATCATCTAACATGTCAAGTAATTTGTCCTTAGTTGGTTCATCATCATCATCACTATCATTTTCATTGTTATCATGTTCCTCATCATCACACTCAACATCGGATTATACCTTAGTGGCCTTAGCCATGAAGCATGTCGATGGAGTGTCGAAGAGAGAAGGCTTCTCAAGTATGGCGATGCTTGCAAGAGCCTTTTTCTTGGTGGTCTTGTCATCATCACTATCATCATCACTTGAGAAAGAATCACTATCCCAAGTGACCACATATGAACTACCCTTCTGCTTCTTTTTGAAGGTCATTTTGTCCCTTCTCTTTCTTTTCCTTCTTGTCCTTCTTACTCTTCTTGTTATCATCATCATTGTTGCTATTGTATGGGCATTGAGCAACAAGATGATCCTTGCTGCCACACTTGAAGCACCTTCTTGATTCTTCCTTGTTCTTGGATGAAAACTTTTTCCTTCTAGCACAATAGCCCTTCTTCACCATGAACTTGCCAAATCTCTTCACAAAGAGAGCCATCTTCTCATCATCACCATCATCATCATCATCACAAGAAAATGAGCCTTCATCTTCACTTGATGTGTCTTGCTTGGCCTTGCTTTTTGATGATGTGGCTTTGAATGCTACACTCTTTTTCTTGTCATCCTTCTTCTCATCTTTCTTCTCCTTCTTTTCTTCCTTCTCATCATCATCTCGATATGTATCATTGGTCATCACATCACCCAATACTTGGTTTGGTGGGTTTGGTGTCATGGTATCCAAACCACTCCTCATTAGAATAGTGACCAATGTGTCAAATCTTGATGGTAAGCATCTCAAGGACTTGTGGGAGAAGTCCTTGTCCTTCACTTCTTCTCCAAGTGCTTTGAGATCATTGACAAGCACTTGAAACTTATGGAACATCTCTGGTACACTCTCATCTTTCTTCGTCTTGAAGCTTACAAACTTCTCCTTGAGAATGTATGCCTTTGCACCCTTCACGGCTTGAGTGCCCTCAAATAACTCCTCCAAATTCTTCCATGCCTCATGAGACATCTCAATGTTCTTGATTTTCTCAAATGTCCTTTCATCCATGGCATCATGAATGGCACTAAGAGCAGTGTCATTGTTTTGGAGTAGCACTTCTTCGGCGATGGTGGGAGCCTCGGCATTGGCAACCTCAATCTTGGTCTCCACCACCTTCCACACCTTTCTATTGATTGACTTGATGTAGGTGGTCATTTTTGCTTTCCAATAAGGATAGTTGGAGCCATCAAATTGGGGTGGCTTCTTGGTGTTGTTGATTTGAGCTATTTTGACACCGAAGGTTGTTAAGCTTCAAATCAAGGTGACCACGGCTTCGATACCACTTGAAAGGTTCTAATGACTAGAGGGGGTGAATAGCCTAATAAAAAATTCTACAACAACACTAAGCCAAGTGGTTAGTATAAAAGATGGCAAAGCGAATTTTGCGCTAGCACTACACTTATGTTGCAAGCCACCTACCCAATTCTATTCTCTATGATCTCTAGTATACACACAAGAGCTAAGTCACTAATTTACACCTAGGCGAACAAGCTAGCAAGAGAGCTACAACTAAAGAGCTGCACTAACTAGCTACAACTACCACAAGCACTATACAAGTTAAAGGCACAATGTAATAGAATAGAGTGGTAGAGAGGTATACAGCCATGGCAAGAGATCAATCAATGAATGAATACCAAGGAGACAATGATGACCAATCAATTTTTCCTCCGAGGTTCACTTGCTTGTCGGCAAGCTAGTCCCCGTTGTGGCAATTCACTCACTTGAAGGTTCACGCGCTAATAGACAACACATGCCTAACCCGCAACTGGGTGCCACACAACCAACACAAGATGAGGATCCACAAGCCACACGCAATCCACTAGAGTTGCCTTTGGCGCTCCACCGGGGAAGGCACAAGAACTCCTCATAATCACAATGATTGGAGCCGGAGACAATCACCTTCCTCCGCTCAATGATCCATCAATCACCGGGCCATCTAGGTGTTGGCAAACACCAAGAGTAACAAGATCTCCACCAGCCCAAACCACCCAACTAGTGCCACAAGATGTTAGACCACTAAGCAATACACTAGAGGCTCTTCAATCTCACTCAAGATGATCAAATAAAGTGTGCAAGTGAGTGGAGTGGTGTGCTCAGCTCTCAAAGGGTGTATGTAGCTGTTAGAAGTGCCAAGAGAGTGGCCAAGACCGGTCACCACCTTTATTTATAAGCCCACAAGCAAATAGAGTCGTTACCCCCTTTGAGTCAGCTCCTGTAGGGGCACCGGACATGTCGGTGTGGCACCGGACATGTCGGTGTGGCACCGGACATGGGGTGGCAGTGCCCCTCCAACGGTCATCCGGACAGGCGGTGGTGGCACCGCCCCTAGGGTGGCGGTGACCACCTAGCCAACTGCCCGAAAACCCCAGCCTCTAGAATTTTATGGCGGTGGCGGCAGTGCCGTAGTGGTGACCATCCCCATTTCACCTAGTCTCTGGAAGAAAATGGTGGTGGCACCACCCTCCTCGCGGCGGTAAACAGGCGATGCACCGCCCTCACAGCGGCGGTGCACACTGGATGCACCGGTGCTCGCTTCACCTCTCCTGTGTCTTGACCATGTCCAGGTGGGCACCGCCCATCGGATAGGGTGGCGGTGCCCCACCAGAGAACCCACCTCTCAGCCTCCTCAGTCGGTCACCGCCACAAGGGTGGCGGTGCACCAGACAGGGCATGGCGGTGCCATCGGGACAGCACCCCGAGCCCAACAACGCCTCCTTTACTTCACCTTTTTCACCAGCTTTGCAAATGTGCTAACACTCCAAGTGTTTCACCATCATGTGCAAGTGTGTTAGCATTTTTCACAATCATTTTCAAAGTTTAATCACTTTCTTACCGATTGTGCACTAGGCCTAAAATGCATATGCAAGTTTTCCAACACCTAGTGGCACTAGACGATCGAGTTGTCCGATAAGAGCTCCCCTCTTAATAGTATGACCATCTATCCTAAATGTGATCACTCTCTATAGTTTTTTTTCACCAAAAATAAAATGGCCCCATGGATATCACCTTTGCCTTGAGCCCATTTTGTTTTTCTCTTTCTTCTTTTCCAAATTCCGGAGCTTGATCATCACACAGGGATGAAGCTAGGAAAAAATTTAGGAGGGGCTGAACAAAAGTGCTACAACGACTTAGCTCTACTATGACCCCTCACAATAGACAAATATGATAGCTGGAAGTAGTCTTATATCAAAAATATAGATTAACGATGAAATTCACAAAATACATCATGGAAAATAAAGGATGCAGTTCATTCATACCGAAAGGCCAAATTACAAAATAAATAGACGACGCGTGATGTTGACACACATCATTCATCCGAAGTAGCAATCTACACAAATAAACATAATTGATTAGTCAAACATATATGGACCTCCAAATTATGAATTTAGAAGAGAATAGAGCATACCACTATTTTTTAGGCAATAACATACGATGCTTTTTCATCTCTTGAAATCACTTTTTGATCTTTTCATTATCAATCTTTCTAAATATCTCCTTCTCATTATAGCATATCATCAAGTCATTGAGCCATTCATCACCCATTTTACTACGCAAATCTGTCTTTATAATGGACATGGCTAAAAATATCTTGTCAACTGAAGCCGTTGCCACCGGTAATATCAAGGTTAGCTCAATGAGACGATAAACCAATTTATAAGATGTGTGCATATTAGTCTTCACCATAATTTCAGCAACTTTTCCAAGTTCAGTGCATCCAAGAAATTCTGGAGTTCTTCTAGCACGGTTCACAAACTGTTTAAGTTGATTTGGCAAAATAGTAAGATCACCCATATCAAAATCCTTAGCATAAATTTCAGCAAGCCTCACAAGTTTGTCCACATCAAAATTAGAGAAGGAGTTCCTTGGGTTAAAAGCAGCCATACATACTAATAACTCTGAACTAATTTCACTGAACCGATGATTCATCTCGGTCAAGATGGCGTCAATGGCGACAAAAAATTCTCAACATGATAGTAATGCATGTTTGTTACCTTTTGCTTTCTTCGTCTAGATGTCCCTCTAACATTTATTTCCTTACCCATATCTAGCACTTCAATCTCATTCTTCTCATAGAATGTTTTCACTTTTTTGAGTAATGGCTCCCATCCATTTTCCCTCATATCCTACAAGCTATCTTTCACATCCGTGACCAAATGCATTGCCTCAACTATGTCTTGATCCTTCCTTTGCAAAGCACGTGACAAAATATCTGTCATGCTCAACAATTCGATCATCAAATGTAGGATGAACACAAAATCAAAGCTCTCCATTTTTTCAATTAAACCTAAAGCTCCACCATTATATGTTGGTTTAATAGAATCTTTCTTCACTATCTCAAGTACATCTATGATAGCCTCCCACATCACCAAAATGCGAAGCAAAGTTTTAAGATGTGAACCCCATCTAGTATCTCTAGGCCTAGCTAGGCTGCTTTCTTGATTTAAACCTCTTCTAGTCATAATCTCACCATTCTCAATCTTTTCTAGCAACACATCATGATGCTTTGCAAGCAAGGCATCTTTTCTCATACAAGATGCACCCACATTATTGATTATTAAAGTAATATAGTTAAAGAAATCAACAATGTCTGCACTAGAAATCAAAACGGTAACAACCACTAGTTACAATTGATGGGCAAAACAATGCACATAGAAAGCATAAGGATTTTCATCATGAATCAATTTCTGCACCCCATTAAATTCACCTCTTATATTAGAAGCTCCATCATACCCTTGCCCACAGAGCATAGAGATAGACAAATTGTGACTTGAAAGCATACTAACCAAAGCTTCTTTCAATGCAATAGCTGTACAACTCTGAACATGCTGAAGCCCAAGAAATCTCTCCACCACTTTCCCTTCATCATTCATAAACCTACACGCCACATTTATTTGTGTTAATATAATTGTAGAAATAATTGTAAAAAATCTATGCACAAAATTGCAATTGTAGAGTACTAACCTTAGAATCACTATCATTTGCTCTTTTATTGATACATCTCGAGACTCGTCAATAAGCACCAAGAATTTTCTACCTCGAATCTCATCCATAAAGACAGTTGTGACTTCTCTCTGCACAAGCTTTTGCAAGGTCCTTTTGTATATCAGGAGATAACATTTGACAATTTTTAGAACCTTTGTCATATGTGTCCTTCACTATCTCATCCTTATCTTTATACCAATCAACCATCTCTCTGAATGTACCCTTGTTGAGGGAAGTAGAACTCTCATCATCTCCATGAAAAGGTTGCCCATGTGATATGAGAAATCTTGCAACATCTAAAGAAGATGTCAAACGAATCTCATATCATTTTTCTTCCTCTGTGCTTACCTCAACTAATTTTCGACCCACACTTGTCCTTTGGTTCATAAAGTCATCACACTTCAGCCTAGCCTCTACATGAGTCTTGCAAACACTGTGGTTACTAAAAGTATCCTTAGCTTTCTTCCAATCCACATAACCTTGATGTGCAAAGACAGAACTCCCAAAATTTTCAGCCTTTGATGAATTAAAGAAGAGATAGCAATATAAGGAATAACCTACATCCTTGGACTCACTATACTCTAGCCAATCAAATTCATCAAACCAAGTCTTTTGAAATGATCTCCATTCACCACCCATCCATTTGCAAGGAAATGGAAATTCATGAGGTTGGGTTGGACCACTCAAAGCATATGCTCTCTTTACTTGGTCTCTAATTTTAGGTTCATAAGAATCGATTGGTTTACGATTTCTAGGGTCAGCAATGAGGTTTGAATGACTAAACTCTACCCTAGATTTCTTCGGTTGACTTGTGCTCTCATTAGTATGTGGAGTTGCGCCACTACCACTTGAACTTGAATAGTAGTTCTACAAAGTTCTTTTCGACAACATACTGAAAATCTAAAACTTAAAATCTATCATGAATCAAACATTCCATCGTTCAATCACGACTCAATTTCACAACTAAAAAATCACCTGCCTGGCTGCTGCTCGCCTAGATGCCTAGCGCCGTGCCGTTGCCGCTTGCCCCCAGCGTTGCGCTGATGCGGACTACGTCACCTGCTCATGGATGTCGGACACCGTGCCACTGCCATCCGCCCCCCTCGCTGCGGCGTGCTGGGCGTGCGACATGCTAGAGCCGACGCGGTGGCGCCCGCTCGCCCGTCTCGCCTAGAGCCGCTGAGGAGCCGCGCGCCCGCACGTAGAAGCAGGCCGACCACCGACACCATCCGCTCAGGAGTCGGGACCTCGGGTCGCGGCCAAGGAGTCACACCGTCACGGTCGTACGCGAAGGGGAGCGGGGAGACGAGGAGTCAGAGGGGATCGTAGAAGGGGAAATTGGGTGCATAGGGTTTCTTTTCACCAATTGGGCTTTGGGCTTTGATTGAAATTGCTGGCCCAATAAGCAATAGAGGTCTCCTGTAAATCTTAGCCCCTCCTACCTAATACATATATGCATGAAATTTTAAGGGGGGCTTTAGGGGGCTCCACGTGCCGGGAGCAGTAGGGGGGCTCGAGCCCCCCGCCACCACAGCGTTGCCTCCATCACTGTCATAACATGTGTTCACACCACCACTATGATCTTCATGTCATGTGGCCATCTCCATCCATGAGTGCCACCTAGCTTCTTCACTTGGGTTGGACCAACCTATCTCACATCCACACTTAGAGCATAGGGTTAGTCCAAATAGGTTTCATCAATTAGCCAAAACCAAACTAGGGCTTTCAACACGCGGCATGGGAAGGTAGGCGCAGGCGAAGCTCCGGCGGCCAGGGATGGATGGATCCGGGGCGGGGAGAGGGGGCAGAGACAGACAACTTGGAACCGTGGCTCCTCCGATCACGATGGTGGGGGCGGACGGGCACGAGTCGCAATGCTAGGAGTCGGGGAGGAGCGGGCACTGGGCTTCTTTTCTATCAGTGGGGGCGGACGGGGGAAATATCGAATCGATATTTTCCAGTTACCAGTGGCATAGGTGGGTAATTTTTGTGAACTTCCTCCACTGAAAGCCGTTGAAAGTAGGTCGGAAGGGGCTGCCAAGTTTTCACTGTGCCAAAAGATGTTTTTGGAGAAAGCAGTTGGACCATTTCGGGTCCTTTTGTTGGCTTTTGGTTCTGGGAAGCAAAAGCTGCTCCCAAAAGCCAACCCAAAGTGACCCTCAGTTTACAACAGTTTTTTCACATCTCTGTGTCACATCGGACATTCGAATGCTAACTAGGAGGACTAAGCATGAGCTAATTATAAAACTAATTGCACATGAGTAGACTAGTTAGCGAGACGAATCTATTAAGACTAATTAATCCATCACTAGCACATATTTACTGTAGCACTACATTGTCAACTCATGGACTAATTAGGCTTAATAGATTCATCTCGCAAATTAGTCTCAAACTGTGCAATTAATTTTATAATTAGTCTATATTTAATGCTCTAAATTAGTGTTAAAAATCCGATGTAACATGGACTACAGTTTAGTCCGTGAAACCGAGCACCCCAGGCTTCTAAAGGAACCCTGGCATCCAAGATGGAAGTGTGAATTATGCATCTTTTCTTTATAAATGTGCTAGTACCCTAGTGGGTCTTAGCCATAAGGGTCCCTAGTTTTAGGCCTGTTCGGCTGATATTAAAGTCGGCTGATAAGCCGATTGAAACTGTTTTATTGTGAGAGAAAAATACTGTTGATTCTAGAAGATAAGCCCGCTGATACGTTCAAGCGAACATGCCCAATTATTCCTGGCACCTAAACCACCAATAGAAAAACGGTTGTGATATCTTCCCTCCATAAATTAGTTCCTTTGAAAATGGGCTTGTTTGTCATTGTCGTGTAGCAGCAGCTATAACTCCTTGCTCCGTAATGTTTCGCTTAAACTCTGATACAAATGTGCCAAACTTCGTAGGAGATTTATTACTCATTACCTTGCAATAATTTTGAACAAACTTATTATTTTATTATTAGGAATAACTTGATGAGCCATGTTCTCATCAGATGGGTGGAGTTAGCTGAGCTCGTTTGGTAGAGCGGCTCCTTCGTGTGATCGAGCTCTGGCCCTGCTCCTTCCTATGATCCTATATTGTAGCAAGGAGCCAACTTTATGTCTTCTCTTAAAATAAACTATTTTTTATTTCAGTGGCTTCGATTCCTCGGCATAGTGAGCTGGAGCTAATAATTTTTTAAAAAGAAAGAAGAGTTTGAAACCATGGCAAATGGTGGCTAAGATATATGGACAGAGGCTACGCACCGGACCGGACCATCGTACTTGTGCCGGAAGGAGAACTCAAACCGTTAGAAAACCAAAGCGATACGTCTCCTCCAATTCCATTGGAACTGGATCTACTTGGGCCGCAAAATATACCGCGGGCATATCCCACACGCTCCCCCCTCTTCGCTCTCCCTTCGTCCCCTCTCGCCGCGGGACACACCAGATCGCCAACCCCGACCTCACCCCCACGTCAATGGCGGCCGCCCTGGCGAGCCGCGTGGAGTCGTGGGTGCGGGACCAGGCGGCGCGGCTGCAGCCCTGGGCGGCGGCGGCGCTGCCACAGGCGCCGCGATGGCCCTGGCCCCCGCCGCGGCCCGCCTGGCCGTGGCCCGGGGACCGCAGGCGCCAGCGGGAGCGCATGTTCCGGGAGGAGTACGAGCGCCGGAGCCGACAGCTCCGCGAGCTCTGCCGCGCCGTCCGCGTCGACACCGTCGCCGAGCTCCAGGAGTTGCTCTGCGCCATGGTCCTCGCCGAGTGCGTCTACAAGGTCCATGCGTTGGCCATTCCCTCAATTTTGTTGCACGGCTCATCCTGTACCTTACCCATCACGATGAACGGATCAATAGATAGATCTGTGCAGCCATTTTCGGCTGGAGATTGGTCCGAATGGTGCATGCAGTAACTGTTATAGTTATGCAGTACGAAAATTTGGAAACTAGAATGTTTATTAGTTGCTGAACATAGAGTTGCATGCCTCTTCTGGTGGGGGAAGGGTAATGAAATCTGCACGTCTCTGTGTTCTAATGATCATGTAGTGTTCCATCCACCAAATGTAGGCACATCATCTTGGGACACTTTTTCTGAGCAAAACCATCTTGGAACAGTTGCAGTTGCATGCCTGATAATATTAATGTGGCATGTAGCATTTTGTGCTTTTACCATGAAGGAACAGCACCCTATCTTTTGATGTGCTTGCTTGATTTAGTTGTTCTTGGATTACTTGTGCTCAGCTTACTATAGCAGTTTCAAAACATATAATTTTTCCAGATTTTTTTTTATATTTACATTTCAAGTCTTCATCAGTTCATCCCTTTCTCTTAATCCCTAGTGTCTAATTTTTTACTAGCCTACCTGATCGATACGCTAGGACCCACTGTGCTTCCCAACCAGCTACCAGCCTTGCGCTTGTTTTAGAAGATATTTTCTTGCAAATGGATTGCATGAAATGCCAGAATGCTTATGCTGGTCCTAGCTTCCCATTGTACTGACGCATTACATTGTTTCGTTCATTTTCATTTACAACATGTCCAATCATCATCTCTCTTCTGTGATGCAATTCCCTGAATATTCTGAGTTCTGATATATATGATTTGCTACATATTGCTTGCCACTGTATGGTTACAAAGTGGCATCCGTTGTCAGTCTGAAGAAGAAAAAAATTGACTGAAGTAAAAGGCTTTGTTTTTGTTGATAGCTGTATGCTTTTGCAGAGACCTGTTTCTGAGATGATGAGATATATCAACAAGTTTAAGTCTGATTTTGGTGGAAACATTGTGTCCCTAGAGCGTGTTCAACCATCCTTGGATCATGTACCACATCGGTAAGCCAAAAGCTAAAGCCCACTTAAGGTTCAATATTTGTTGTGATTTGTGCTACTGTTTTTGTTCTTTGCAAAAGTTCGTAATCAAGCACTACAATCAAATACAATTGAGCTGTTTTTTGTGCAACTCTAATCTCAAGTAGATCAAGTTACCATGTACAGTCCTTGCTTTATCTGAGCTCCCTTAGATAAAGACACACAAAGAAATAGTCCTTTCTGTAATTACTGTGAGGATAGGGCAAATTATGCTATGGGATGTCCTAAATGTGTGATCTTTGCTGGAAAGCAAATAGGCAATCTAAAAAAGTTACTTCCACTCCTGGACAATCCTGTAGGCATTGGATCTTTACACAATATCTATATATTTGTTCTGATTATCTGTTCCTTATTTTAAGTAGTCCAAATAATGACAATCTGCACATGGTTCTGCTGTCTTTTTTTATATATATAAATCTAATTAGTGGTGAAATTATGCAGGTATCTGTTAGCAGAGGCTGGTGACACCCTATTTGCTACATTTATTGGCACAAAGCAGTACAAGTAAGAGTTTGATGGAACTTCAGACTCTCAAATGTCCATTATGTTTGCAGTAATGTAATTGCATCAACTGTTCATTTTCCTCGTATAGAGATATTATTGCTGATGTGAATATACTCCAAGGGACCTTATTTCATGAAGATACTGCTCAGGATTTGGCTCCTGATGTTGACCCTGAACAAAATGATACCCAAAAGGGTGAGGAAAACCATGGGAAATCTTACCGAGAAACATCAAAGAAGCTAAGAAAATCAAAACCTGCAGTGCACCGAGTATGCATTTTCATGCTGAATCATCTTGTGTATCACATATCATTGTGGTTAGGATGTGGTGATTTGCCTAACTTAATATACCATACAGGGTTTCTTGGCTCGTGCTAATGGAATTCCAGCACTGGACCTATACAATCTTGCACAGAAAAGGAACAGGAAACTTGTTCTTTGTGGACACTCACTTGGTGGGGCGGTAGGTACCTGTAGATAATATACAGTATCTCATTATTTGCTCATACATCTTCATTACAACTGCAGGTTGCTGCATTGGCTACACTAGCAATCTTGAGAGTTATTGCTACCACTCCATCTAAAGAGGATAACAGGCTTCATGTGAAGTGCATCACCTTCTCTCAGCCACCTGTTGGGAATGCTGCTTTGAGAGAGTAAGTTTCTTGAGTATATGATTATTAAAAATACTATTAGCTAACACTGCTTATCTAGAGAGAGGCAAGTGTAACAGGTTTGATGCTATCAAAATTGCTCCTTTATCCCCTTGTTTTCCTTTTGTTAGTTATGTTCACAAAAGAGGATGGCAAGACTACTTCAAATCCTACTGTATTCCAGAAGACTTGGTACCACGCATTCTATCTCCAGCTTACTTTCACCACTACAATGCCCAAACACCTGAAGCATCTTTTATAAATAAAACTGGTGTGAAATCTGAAGAAACTATGGAGGCAAGTGCGGAAAGGCCCAAAGGGAACAATGGAGAGCAACTCGTTCTAGGCGTTGGTCCAGTGCAAAAGTCACTTTGGAGGCTTTCAAAACTTGTTCCCTTGGAAGGGGTGCGGAAAAGCTTAAGTGTAATTCAAAAACAAACAAATGTTTTTGGGAAAGCACCATCACAATTGGATAGTTATTTGCAATCAAAGGTTGATGAATCAGAAGAATCACCTCAATCTCTTGAGATTCAAGAAAGTTCACAAGGAATTGCTCTTACTCCTTTATCTGATAAAGATGGAGGGAACGCTGAAGATAATAATAGGACTAAGAAAATAAATGCATCTGAAGCAGGGGGTTCTAAACGCTGGAGCAGGGTACCTTCTTTGCCTTCATATGTGCCATTTGGTGAGGTTAGTAACATATACCTTCAACTTTTTTCCCTTTTTTTTTTTGGGTGGGGTGGGGTGGGCGGGGTGGGCGTGTTTAGTCCCTTTTTCCTCTCGAACACATAGGAGAACTGTGTAAAGAAGTGGAAAGGGTAGAAATCCTGAGTAGTGAGTACACACCCAGACCCTTAATTCTTAGTGTACATGTGCGCCCGTGATGAAAATAAATCGACCACAACAAGGCTTAATTACTAAGTGCTAGGGAAAGACAAGAGGGAGAGCTCTCGAGCCCCAGCCATACCCCAGAGTTGTCTCTCTTCTTCAGCAAGCAGCAAGACACGCCATAATTGGGACAGTGCCATCAAAGTCACAGCGATTCTGATGCTTCCAAAGAGTCATACTGTCCAAGCCCCAATAATGATAAAAGAGTTGAGAACTTGTTGCAGCAGGCCATTCGTTGCCTCACTAGCTCTGCAACACCAGTCATCAAAGGAAAAATCTCCAAGTGAAGGAGGCAAAACTTGGAGGCCAAAACGCTGCAGAGACTAAACCAAAACTGTTTTTCAAAGACGGTTTTTAACTCCTATTTAACATGATACTCACTGCTCCTTTGTTTCAGATTGGAATTCTCGATTCGGTAAGGGAGATTTTCTTATTTGCACGGCTTTACATGTAAATGAGCCTGTTGGAACAGAAAATTCCAGTCACGTGATTGAAGATCATCCATGGCTTAGCACTGCTAGGGCAGGATAACGAGCCAGCTCAGCTCGACTCATTCTGGCTCAGCTCGTTATCTTAACGAGCCAGAAGGCTAGCTCGGCTCGGCTCGTTTACGAGCTCGAGTTGGCTCGTTAAGCCCACGAGCCATGTATAGAAAAGTACACAAAATATAATATTTGCATTTATCTAAAGCTTGAGAATAGTAATAATACAAAACACATCCAAAGTCGAACAAAAAATTAATATGTGCTAACATATATACAAGTATAATAATATACTATAATATTACACCATACATCCATGGTCCATGCTCCACATCATACATACTGTGTCCATAAGTATCCATACATCCACTAAAAACAAAACGATAAAGTCATAGTAATCCCAAGTTTATAGGGTCTAGACTAGTCATCAACCAATTGTAAAGTGCAAGACATGAAGTAATACAAAAATACAAAAACTAATATAAGTTCTGCTGCTTTTTTCCCTGGAAACGTGGCTTGTTTGGCTCGTGAGCGGCTTGCGAGCTGGCTCGAGTTGGCTCATTATAGCTAACGAGCTAAAATCTTGGCTCGGCTAACGAGCCGAGCCGAGCCAGCCACGAGCTAACGAGCTTCGAATTTTTTTGTCCAGCCTTACTTAGCACTAAAGAGCTACAATTTTATTATAAAAATATTACCTGTAGCATTTATACATTTTCTCTAATTTGACTCTAACGTTATGCCACAATGCTCTCTGTCTCAAGATATTCGTTATTTACCTGTTTGAACTTAGAAAATGTGATAAGTCTGAAACTTGCTCGTTCCTAAGATTAGGTGATGAAAGATTGACACAATTATGTCATTTATTTAAAAAATCTTACTGTGCCATGCCTATTAATGCTCTGATTTTATATGCTTTCTTATTGACAAACTCTAGAAATTATCATACTTTGAAAAAAAAATCATGCAGCAAAAGATTAGTTTTGTTATGTGCTATCGTGGTACATCCATATCTTGAAATGTATTTGAGCTTTAACTTCTGTCATGAAAATATTATTATTGTTTTCAGCTTTACCTATTGGGAGATTCATCTGTCAATACACTTTCAGATTCAGAATACTCCAAGATGACGTCGGTATGAGCTTCTTACTTTGGTGCCCATTCCCCTTATTCTAAAAAGCTAAAACATAGGAAGCATGCTTTATTTTTCTTTGGTTTTGGTTGAGTTTATTACCATATTGGGTTTGGGTCCACTCATTTTCTTGCTATATTTTGGCAAAGGCATGTGCAGGTGCAGTCTGTTATATCGGAGTTAAGAGAGCGTTTGCAGTCACACTCAATGAAGTCCTATAGGGCTAGATTTCAAAAGTAAGACCCACTATCAGGTTATCTTCAACTACATTAGCTCTTAGCCAAAACTTTCGTCTTCCATCTCACTGGGTCTTGTTATTCTGAAACTTTCATCTTCATACCAGACTTGACCCTGAAAGTTGTTGTGTTCTTCAATCTTAAACTTTGCATGGATTCTTCATAAACAGCTACATCATGATAGAGAATAAAGGGAATTTGTATTCTTTGTAATACTAACTCTTCTCTGTAAGCATTTATTTGCTATAAAGGTTAGATAAGGTATCCTAAATGCTGCACTCAACGTGGGGAAAATGTGATTAGTCTTGTGTTAGTGTGACTCAATACTTGATTGCTTATATTAATCGCAAGGTAGCCTACTTTAACTCATATTTTTTGGGAAACAGCTGCAACTGGCTCACCATTTTCCTGTTTGAAAGAGTGCACACAAGTTTAAGGACTGCCAGCTTATTTCTTTAATTGTGTTACATCATTCAGTCAGTCTCATTGAAATAAAATGACTACCCACAACTAATGTTGTTTCTTTCTTTATTATGCAGAATATATGATTCATGCATGTGTGCAAATGCCCCCATTTTTACTGGCATTGAGCAATTGCCACAATTTTCACATCTACAAGAATTAATTGGTCTAACAGCTACGGATTCTGTTGAACTTGGTGATATCGTGGACCCTCCTGTTATCCGAACTGCTACTTCTATTCTTCCTCTTGGATGGAATGGACTCCCTGGTGGTAAAAATGCTGAGCCCCTGAAAGTTGATATAATTGGGCATGACCTGCAAATGTGCACTCTTTTCCAGGCACAGATAAATGGAAACTGGTATGAATTTAGCTTGTGAAATAATTTACAAGTTTTGGGAAAAAAATCTTGACAAAGTCTATTTTTTAATTAAAAATGTAAATGGGTATTCACTATAAGCTTTTGATAACATTTTAAAGAAAAATTTGGTGCCTTCTATCTTGTGATACTCCAGTCTTTAGATCATCTAGAACATTCAGGTCATGATGCTCAAGATCTATCTTTTTTAAAACTGTCATTCAAAAAGGATTCTGTGTATGCTAGTGGTGCAATGTACATGAAGTTTGAAACCATCAGTGAACTACATGCTTTGTGGAATTTGAAATCATCTATATTGAACATATAAACGAATCATCTAATTGTTTATTTCATAATTAAGGCTTGTGTCAGGGTGGCTAGCAGTAATATTACTGTAAAATATCCTTTATGTTTACTTATCGCATTTGATTGATTGGTTACCGTGTACAAGATTTACTCCATTGTTATATCTGCAAGTATTCCATACTTTAATTAATGGCTTTTGTATATAGGTATTCCACGGTAATAGAGACTCTACCATCAGTCACTTCATTCTCACCAAATGGAGAACTGCAACCTACATTACAAAAAATGCGGATTCTTGTTGGACAACCACTAAAGCAGCCTCCAAATTACATTAGTGAGGCTTTCATGGTTCCTGTGATGACAGGTGCCGATTCAACCCTGGACTTTGGATTCGAGTCATTATTTGAAGATAAAGATTGCTGCAAGGGTTTGAGTGGATTTCTCATATATGGGACAAGTGATTTTGTAACCGTATGTAAAAAGGTCTACATTAGGACTCGGAGAGTGCGATTGCTTGGATTAGAGGTATCCCCATGTATTTAGGTATTGTTATAATATGTCCCTTTACCTATGTTCCATGGAAATGCTACATATCGGATATATTTGTCTGATGTAGGGGGCAGGCAAAACATCCCTGCTTAAAGCAATGTTAGGACAACTTAAAGAAAGAAATAGCGCTGTTCTTGAATGCATACATGTCGATTTGCATGGCAAGGGAATATCAAGTGGATTGTGCTACATAGATTCTACAACAGTAAACTTGCAGGTACTGTTGCTACCTTTTGTTCTCTTATAATATATTCTCTCAAGAATCTACAATTGACTTTTGATGCTGCATAAACCATTTTAAAATGGTGGCACTTGTTTTCCAGTTTCACACTGTTGTTATGTGCTGATACAACTGAAACTGTATTATCCTCTAGATTTTACACAACTGCATTGGGCTTGCCTGCACCACTCAGGAGTGTAGTATGGAAAATATAGTAGGGTTGTGTGACATGAAATTAGAGATGTATGGATTAGAAAACCATCTGGGAAAAACTATGCCTTGCTCCATTTTTTGCCACTAAATGCTTACTTTTTTTTCCTTACATCACCGATGGAGTCTTTTTATCTAGAATGATCCTGATTCTACTGGAGTTACCTTTCATTACCTCTGAAATGTGTAATTGATCGGTATAGTTTTTGGTTTTCATGGTTCATAGAAGAGCAGAGCAGATACATGGAGAATAATTTGTTCTCGGTTCTTGTCCGGTGATTTCCTTTATGATCACTGAAGTTTTGTTTGCCTATACGCTGAATATCTAACCTTATGGACTTGTCTTCTATCAGGAGCTACCTTTGGAGGTTGGGCGGTTCAAAGAAGAACTGTCGTTAGGACTCCATGATATCAGCAGGAAGACTGACCTTGTTATTGCTGTGCATAACCTAGCACACCGAATTCCACAGTATCAACAGTCCAATAATTCTCGGCCTCAGCCTGCTCTTTCACTTCTCTTGGATGAAGCCAAGGCGCTAAGCATTCCTTGGATTCTTGCAATAACCAACAAATTCTCTGTTAGTGCGCATGAGCAGAACGCATTGATCAGCTCAGCTATGGAAGCATATCAAGCTTCTCCTGATATGACAAAAGTTGTTAACTCTTCCCCATTTCTGATGCCAAGTGCTAGAAACAGTTTGCAGCGGATCAGATCAGCTACTGGGAATTTGGGGAACAAGGATCCAGAAAGCAGATCTGCTTATCTTCCTGTAAACTTTGCACTGTCACCATTTCAGAGGAAGGACATTGTTATGCATGTGGAGGGTGTTAGTGCCCTCCGTCAACTTGTACATCAAGTAGTCCTCAGCAATGAAGAACAAGCATTTGAGGTACATTTCTCTATTCTTTATTTTGTTTCTTGTGGGGGACAGGGAAAAATCATAACATATGAATGCGAGCGTCTTAGAAACTTTCAGGCTTGACAGTAACCTTCACTGCATGATGAACAGGAGCTCGCTCGTGAGAGATTGGTGCAGGAACTGGCGAGAGAGAAAGCGGCCTCCTTGCAGATGAAGCAGAAGACCCCGAAAAGAGATGGCTCTGTTACAGCTGCTGCTGTAGGTGCATCTCTGGGCGCGGGCCTGGGAATTGTAATGGCTGTGATAATGGGGGCAGCATCAGCCCTTCGAAAGCCGTGATTAATGTCTTCTTTTGATTCATCATTTATTTCTTATTTAAGGATGTCTGAACAAAAGCACTAGTGTAGGCAAGAAAAATGAAAGTTTAGGGCAGAATAGTCAGCTGATAGTGCAACATTTTGGCTGTGTATAGAATGTAGGTTAGGCCTTTTTTTTTTTTTTGCTGATCTGTAGTTTGTTGTGTTACTGGAGTATGGCTTGGATATGTTCTACTTCACGTTTTAATTTAATTATTATATATCTGTATCATATCTATGAGTACTCGCCAATTTCCATCTATTTGTATTATTTATCCTTTTCTAACAGGGCTAAAAATTATATTAAAATTACAAAGCAGGTTTCTGAAGAATACATCTATATATTGAGGGCAACAGGGGAGATTGAGTGAGGCGAGAGCCAAGACGATCAGGGCAGTAGGGGGCGACGGTGATCGCGTCGCTGCTCCCCAGGCGTCCCCATTTGGTTAGCATGCATAATGTGGCTAGCATGCATGAGCGCGAAAATGGTTAGATAATCTACTGCTACCTTGTGTGAACACAGCAAGGGAAGACGTTAAAAGGCATCTCTGTTGTGATACTGTAGCCGCTGCAGGTGTAGACGTCGCACGGCTCACCTGCAGCACTGTTGGCACATGTAGTGGCCGGCGCAGAGTCAGCCTTGTATGTTATCTAGTTACTGTTATAGCATGTGCGCTGTACTAGGACTAGATGGATAGAGTTGTATAAATAGACTACCACGGCAACTCAGTAAATAGAGTTTAGATTTACCATCTCTCATACAGGGCTTCGGCCAATGCTGGTGTCTTGTACCGTATGTGCATGCTCTGTTCTCCCTTCTTCTAGCTCTAGCTATAGTGTGTGGGGACAGACAACGCTTGTTCGTGGTCGGCACGACTAGTGGGTGCTTGGCAATACTAGCGGGTGCTCGGCAAGACTGGTGAGTGGTTCACTCACCTGAGCCGGTGATCCTGTGGGTCAACAAGTGGTATCAGAGCCGTACAAGTACCGTCGCCAGACTAACCGCTGGCGATGACGGGTGGTTTGGAGATGGACGACAGCAGTGGCACTGCTGTGGTTGCCCAACCACGACCGGAGGTCGTTGTTCGCACGGTGCGGGAGGTCAGCGGCACCAGTTGGTCGACGCTGACTCGCACCAACTATGGAGAGTGGTCGGTGACCATGAAGGTCAAGCTCAGAGCCCGACGGCTCTAGAATGCTGTTGACAAGGGCACCGACAATGAAGAAGATGACATGTCAGCGTTGGAGGTTATCCTCGCTGCTGTACCGGTGGAGTACAGGGAGCCGTTGGGGGCGAAGAGCTCTGCCAAAGAGGCGTGGGAGGCTATTGCGGCGATGCGCGTCGGTTCCGACCACGCAAAGAAGGCGACGGCCCAGCTTCTAAAGCAGGAGTACGCCAACCTCAAGTTCAAGGATGGTGAAACGGTGGAGGACTTCTCCCTCCGCCTGCAGACGCTCTTCAGCAAGTGGAAGAGCCACGGCGTCACCATCGACGAAGAAGAGGCGGTCTCCAAGTACCTTCACTCCGTGCCGGCAAAGTACATCCAGATCGCTCTCTCCATAGAGACGATGCTGGACTTGTCCATCCTGACCATTGAGGATGTGACAGGCCGTTTGCGGGCGGTGGACGAGCGCCTAGAGCAGGCGACAACAATGAAGGACAGCGGGGAACTCCTGCTGATGGAAGAGGAGTGGGCTGCTCAGAGGAACTCCAGGAAGGTAGTCTCCTCTAGCCGCGGTGGCGATGGCAACCGCTGCGGCAGGGCTTCTTCAGAAAAGAAGCAAGTCGACCCCAACGCCTGTCGGCGCTGCGGGAAGATGGGCCATTGGGCACGGGAGTGCCCAAACCGCAAGCAGGAAAAGAAGGCTCAAACTCATCTGGCGTAAGCCGATGATGAGGATGAGGCCACTATCCTGATGGTGACGTTTTGTGCACTATATGACGTCGAGGCCGGGGAGAGGGAAGAGGTGATGATGGTGGAAGGACCTGGCAAGGCCCTGAAGACCGTCAACCTCGACGAACCACGCGCCCAAGTTCACCTCGGACGTGTGGGCGCCGACCAGGAGCAGTAGTGGTATCTGGACGCTGGTGCCAGCAACCACATGACGGGCTCCAAGGCATCCTTCTCCGAGCTCGACGATGATGTTATCGGTACGGTGAAGTTTGGTGATGGCTCAAGGGTGGCTATCCAAGGGCGCAGCACCATCATCTTCAGGTGCCAGAACGGGGAGCACCGCGCGCTAACGAATGTATATTACATCCCACAGCTGCGTTCCAGCATCATCAGTATTGGTCAGCTAGATGAGCGCGGTAGCGAGGTACTGATCAAGGACGGAGTCCTTAGGATCAGGGATCGGGAGCAGCGACTTCTCACCAAGGTGAAGAGGTCCCTAAACCGGTTGTACCTGCTCGACCTAAAGGTAGAGCAGCTGGTGTGCCTGGCGGCAAGGCACTCTGAGGAACCATGGATGTGGCATGCCCGGTTCGAACATCTTAGCTTCGACGCGCTTGGTCGGCTGGAGAAGAGGGTCTGAGGGCTACCCCACATCAAGCACAGAGGCGAGCTGTGTGACAGCTTCCTGGCCAGGAAGTAGAGAAGGCTACCATTCCCAAAGGCAGCCAAGTATCGCGCGAAGGACGCTCTCGAGCTCGTCCACGACGACCTCTACGGGCCGATCACGCCTGCTACAAACGATGGTCGGTGGTACTTCCTCCTGCTCATGGACGATTGCAGTCTCTACATGTGGCTGCAACTCCTAACGAGCAAGGACAAAGCGGCGGCAGTGATCAAGAAGTTCAAGACGCGTGCAGAGCCGAGGCGGAAGAAGCTTCGCGTGCTGAGGACTGATCGCGGTGGCGAATTCACTTCGGTGGAGTTCGCTGCGTACTGCACGGATTAGGGTGTGGGGCAACACCACACCGCGTCGTACTCACCACAACAGAATGGCGTGGTGGAGCGACGGAACCAGACGGCGGTCGGCATGGCCCGATCCATGATGAAGGCCAAAGGCATGCCGGCAAGGTTCTGGGGGGAGGCGGTGACCACGGTGGTGTTCATCCTCAACCGTGCTCGACCAAGTCCCTGACAGGCAAGACGTCGTTCGAAGCTTGGTATGGGCGCAAGCCGAGCGTGTCCTTCCTCCGAACATTCAGCTGCATCGGCCACGTCAGGAAGACAAAGCCGAACCTCACCAAGGTGGAGGATAGGAGCACACCCATGGTGTTCCTAGGCTACGTGAAGGGTACCAAAGCATACCGGCTCTATGACCCATGCAGAGACAAGGTGCTTGTCTCGCGCGACATCATGTTCGACGAGGAGGTGGCTTGGGACTAGAGCAGTCCGAGCACGGGGGAAGCTGGCAGCTTCACCAACACCTTCGTCGTTGAGCACTTGGTCATCCACGGTGGTGGAGACGCTGGGGAAGAGGTGCCGAGCACTCCAACGGTAGAGTCGAGCACTCCTGGGGCAATGTCGAGCACTCCTGGAGGGATACCGAGAATGCCAAGAGTGGTGCCGAAAGATTCTGCAGTGGTGGCGACCACTTCAAGACGGGTGCCGAGCACTCCTATGGCGGAGCCAAGATGTCTCGCAGTGGTGCCAACCACTCCAAGACTAAGGCTGAGCACTCCTACAGGAGTTATGATGAGCTATCCAGAAGTAGTGCCGAGCACTCCGATAGAACAGGGAACTCCATCGATGCCGATCAAGTTCGCCTCACCTCCAAGTGACATCACTAAGTTTGTGGACGCCTTCCACGAAGGTGAGGAGGTGCGGTTCCACAGGCTGGACGACATCGTCGGCGACACAAGACCCTCAAGACTGGCTGGTCGGCTGCTCAATGACGCAGAGCTGCTGCTTATCAGTGCTGAGGAACCACCCACGTTCGCACTAGCCGAGCGCGATGGAAACTAGCGACGGGCGATGCTGGAGGAGATGAAGGCGATCAAGGAAAATAAGACTTGGCAGCTCATCGATCCACCTCCAGGATGCCATCTAATCAGCCTGAAGTGGGTGTACAAGGTCAAGCGGGACGAGCTCGACGCCATTGTTAAGCACAAGGCGCGTCTCATCACCCAAGGCTTTGTTCAGCGCGAGGGCATAGACTTCGAGGAGGTCTTTGCGCCAGTAGCGCGTATGGAGTCGGTCCATTTGCTACTAGCTTTGGCAGCAGCAAAGGACTAGCGCGTCCATCACTTGGACGTTAAATCGGCCTTCCTCAACGGTGAACTGGCGGAAACGGTCTTCGTTGGGCAACCTCCAAGTTTTGCCATCAAGGGAGAGGAGCACAGGGTGCTCCGACTACGCAAGGCGCTCTACGGGCTGCGGCAGGCCCCTTGAGCATGGAACACCAAGCTTGACGCCATGCTGGGTGAGCTTGGGTTTCAGAGGTGTACAACTGAGCACGCGCTCTACACGTGGCGACGGGGGAAAGAGGAGCTCATCGTCGGCGTGTATGTGGACGACTTGATCGTCACTGGCGCGCACACGGAGGACATCAACAGCTTCAAGCGCGAGATGGCGGCTCGTTTTCGAATGAGCGATCTTGGCGCACTCTCCTAATACCTCGGCATCGAGGTGAGACAGGGGAAGGAGGAACTCATGCTCGGTCAGAACGCGTATGCCTCCAAGCTGTTGGAGAGGAGCGGCATGGCTGAGTGCAAGCCATGCGTGACTCCGATGGAGGAGCGGCTGAAGCTGACGAAGGCCAGCACCGCGGCGAAGGTGGATGCAACACTCTACCGGAGCATCGGCGGCGGTCTGCGCTACCTAGTCCACACGAGGCCGGACATTGCATTCAGCATGGGCTACGTCAGACGCTTCATGGAGGATCCTAGAGAGGATTACTAGGCTGAGGTAAAGTGGCTACTACGCTACATCAAGGGGACAGTGGATCATGGGATCATCTTCCCAAGGACCGGTGGGAGTAGGCTACAGCTCACTATGTTAAGTGATGCAGACATGGCGGGGGACATCGACGGAC